TCATTTTTACTCCTGGTTTGTGCCCTTGTGGAGAGGGAAGCAGAGAGAATGTCTCGGCTCTTATGCTGTCTCTGGCTCCCCTTTTATTCCATCTGGTTCCCAGCCTGTGGGATGGAGCTGCCCAGATTCAGGATGGGTCTCAAACCTCCCTAATCACCTCTGGAAATGCCCTTGAAGACACATCCAGAGATGCGTTTGACTAATCTGCTAGACTAGGTGGTGCGTTCTAACCAAGGTGACAGTCGAGACCTTCATAGGCCCTTCCTCCCTGAAGTAGGGGGGCGTGTAAGCAGCAGGAGGTAGAAGTAACCTCAAATCAGGCACAAGCCCTGGGTGTTCTTTGTGCCGGGTACCGTGGGTCTGTACCGAATGGGGGTCATGTGAACGGGAATGTGGCCACACCAAAGCCCTGGCTTAGGTGCTGTGTGCCTACAGAACCAGTCTTCAGTATGGCATCATGTGTCTGAAGAGGCTGAATTATGACCGGAAGGAGCTGGAGAAGAGGCGTGAGGAGAGCCAGCATGAGATCAAGGGTAAGCTGGTCTGGCTTGGGGAAGCTTGCTTCCACCTCCAGTCTGGGGCCCAATGAGCCTCAGGGAAGACTCAGATCTGAGAGGTGACTACGACCCCAGCCCGTCGGATGCAGTACACACATTCCGTCCACTCAGATGGAGTTCCACGTCCCTCAGACAGTGGCTACTGATGTGACCTCTGGGATGGTGCTGTAGACTGGTGTGCTCATAGAAGCTGGTGACCTGGGGGAAGGGGGACAGTTAGTTGGATGGTAAAGAGGCAGGTTTTAGACAGGACTCTGAAAGCAGAAAGAATAAGGTAGGTCACTTTGGCCTGGGGTGGGAGAATGACCCATTCTGGGACTCCAGGAAGAAAAGTGTTGTAGCTGGCAGAGATGCAGTGAGGTGACGCTGGCCCAGCAAGAAGCCAGATGCCGTGGAGGACAGAAAGATGTGGGAAGTTAGGGATGGAGTAGGAGCTAGGGAGCCGGGTAACTGGGCCTCTGCGTCTAGGGAACGACTTCTGTACCTGGAAGAGCCTGGGCCAGCCATGTTGTCTTCTTGTTCATTTCTTCCTCTACCCTCCAGATGTGCTGGTCTGGACCAATGACCAGATGGTCCACTGGGTCCAGTCTATTGGGCTAAGGGACTATGCAGGAAATCTACATGAGAGTGGTGTACATGGTGCTCTGCTGGCCCTGGATGAGAACTTCGATCACAACACCCTGGCCTTGGTTCTGCAAATCCCCACACAGAACACCCAGGTAGTCCTTCAGTCAGTCAGCATCCACCTATCCTGCATGCATGCTTTTATGCGTGCGTGCGTGCGTGCGTGCGTGCGTGCGTGTGTGTGTGTGTGTGTGTGTGTGTGTGTGTGTGTGTGTGTTTTGGTCTATCCTAGAGGGTGCAGTGTGCTCAGACCTCTGAGTGGTCCTGGTGCATTGCCAAAGCTCCTTAGGGAATGTGTGTGTTTCACATACAGGTATTTGATATTTTTCTTGTCACCACGAGGCTGTGGGTCACTCCAGGTCTTCCCAAGCCTCTTTCATAGCTGAGGCTTGGTACTTTCCTTTTCTTTAAGTTGCTTCTCTGACCCTACTTTTCATAGAGAAGAACAAGCCCTGGGCCCCGCAGGGACCATAGAGCCTGTATCTACTGCAGGGATCTGCTCCTGGGCCTCTAGACTTCAGCAGACTAAATATACCAGTGGGCACAGTCCAGAGACACTCCCTACCAGGGCTTTGCCTTCCTGTCAGCAGCTCAAAAGATTAGACATCTCCTTCCATTACATTTCTTAATTATTATTATAACTTTTATCAAGGAATATACCTACATTATCTTGACCCTGTTTATATTTTTGGCCCTTCTAACTTCCTGTGGGTGATGGATTCTAGATGCACTCACAGTTGTGTAAAGTGCTTCTTGATTTTAGTTGTCCTAAATATGCCTCTGTGGGCTCCCCCTGGGGAAAGATCCGCCTCTTCCTTACAGTTTAGCTTGGTGAGGATGTTTGTTATGTGACCGGTTCTCCCCTTTTGTAAGAACTGTGAATTTCATAAACTCTGATTATATTGCCTCTGGGCCCAAGCCTTTGTCTCTCTAGACAGAACGGTCTTAATTCTTTTAGCCTTCCCTTGTGTAGACTGGCTGCTGCCCCTGATCATTTTAGCTGCCCTTGTCTGAACTGTTTGCAGCTGTCAGATTGCTTTTGAAATTCAGCCACTAGCTGTGCTGGCTATTCTGGGAGCAGATACTTTTTGGCTTGAGGGAGGGTGGGGCTGTGTTGTCTCTTGGTTCTGGACAGCGTTGGCCTTGGTGGTAATGGCAGCATTCAGGGCCAATGTGTTTGTAGACTTGTCTGCTGTGACCCCTACTGACCAGTCAAAATACATAGCATGGAACCTTTCTTTTCTAGTAAAAGTTTGGATTTCCTCCAAATGCAATTTCTCTACACTTGCCCACCTCTAACTTCATTTGCAGGTTTCCTGCCTGCTCAGGCAGGGCTCTGCAGTTGATACACGTACTTTTAACCTCTCACGATCCAGGAGGTATTTGAAATGTTACAACACTTTTCCTTTTTGATCATTTGTAAGGCATAACGCTCCCACTCTGACAAACAGTATCCTAATAGAATTCTGTGCTTGATATTCCCCCCCAGAAATGGGCTTTCTCTTTTGAAAAGTTTCTGCACCCTTGATAAGCCTCTCCGCTGATGCAACAATCCAAATGAGACCAAATCAAACTGAATTAGAAGAAGCCCACATTTAATGGATACAATGCACCCGGATGACTTTCCAGTCCGCCAGAGAGGAGACAGGAAAGAGAGACTGAAAAACTACTCATTTGTTTTCTTGGAGGCAGTTTAAATACCCCGTGGGGGTGATCTTGAGCATCTCCTGGGTAGGGTCATCATTTGGCAGGCTTTCTGATACGCAACAGAGTTTGGCAAGATAGAGGAGGGGGTGTTGGGGTACCCTGATTTGAGGAGGGGTCCCCAAGCTGGATTCATCGCCCCAAGAATCAAGAGTCCACGCGCCAATTGATGCAACACGCAAGAGGCTTTAATTAGGCATCTGCAGATGGGCCTCTCGGTCAGCTTTTAGACCGATTGGCCCCGAGGTTCAATTACAATCAGCTTTTAAAGACAAAAACCACAAGTCTTTGGGAGGGGTCCCTATCTTGTGACGAGGGGGGGGGGGGGTTACGTGACTACTGACCAGGGGAAGTAGATATCTTCCTGACCTACACATTGTAAATTCCTCAAACCTTGGTAAGAGTTAATCATCTCTCCCTAAGTAAATGGTGGTTCCCACAAATCTTGTTTGCCCATCTCTGACACCCTGGTAAGTTCTTCACAGGTGGTCAGCAGCCCAGAATTGGCCTTTTGTGGGTTTACAGCCCTTCTGCAATTAAGGTTGCTAAAACATACATTCCATTCTGTGGTTTGGCCAGTTCCTGGGATGAGGTCCTTTGTTCACTTCCCAAGTTCTCTAGTGGGGTGCCCTCCCTGTTTAAGCTTATATTTTATTTCTATAAATTCGGGGTCTTTCAGGGGTTTAGGATGGAACTTCTACCAGAGCATTCCAGAACATACCTCTTTGGGTATGTGGATGCCAGGGCTGGCGGTGACGCTTCCACCATACCATCTTTCTCATTTCCTGTCTCAGAGTGCATATTTCCTCCTTACTTCCCCTCATCTTTTTCCTTCACCTTTCTTCCTTCTTCTTGTCCTCCTCTTCCTTCTCTCCTCCTCCTCCTCTTCTTTTTTTTTTTTTTTTTTTTTTGAGACAAGGTTTCTCTGTGTAGCCCTGGCTGTCCTGGAACTGGATCTATAGACCAAGTTGGCCTTGAACTCCCAGATCCATCTGCCTCTGCCTCTGTCTCCTGGGATTCAAGGCATCCACTACCACCACCTGGTATTTTCTTGACCTATTTATCTGACACAGTATGGAGTCCTTTATGGACAATGGTTGAAATACCTGGTGACAGAAAGTTTTGAAAACCTCACCATTTCTTTTTTCTTTTGATTGATTTATTTTTTATTTTATGTGTATGTGTGTATGTGCCTGTATGTATGTGCCTGTGTGTGTGTGTGTGTGTGTGTGTGTGTGTGTGTGTGTGTGTGTGTACCATATGCATGCAAGTGTTGCAGAGGCTAGAATTTTGTTTCTGGTTCCCTGGAACTGAAGTTGCAGGAAGTTGTCAGCCACCTGATATGAGTTCTGGGAACTGAACCTGAGTCCTCTGTAAGAGCAACAAGTGCTCTTAATGTCTGATGCACCTCTCCACCAACTCTGGTAGTTTCCTTAATAAGTTAATTTGAGGCGGTCTAGAAAAGTGTCTGTGTGCTACACAGCTCAGGGCTCCCATTATCCATGATGGGGAATTCTTTTAGTTTGAGTTTGTAATGTGCACGCTGTCAGATGACTTCATTTACTCCTAGGAAGTTTTGCTTACCCATGGTATGCATGCTTATTTCTCTTTCTCCTGCCCTCACCAAAGTGTAGTCAGCCATGGTTTTTCCTTAGAGACAAAATATAGGCTTTAAAAATATAATTTGTGTTTATTCATAGAAAATTGAGTATATTTGTACAATTTTTTGTCTACTGTTACTGCCTTCCAATTCCTACTAGTGCCTCCTTTCCTCTTCCCTCCCAAGTTCATGTCCTCTTTCTGTTATTGATAACTTGAGTCCTGTTAGTGAAGACAGTTTTTCCAACATAAAATCCGTCTATTCATGTGTTCTGTAATCCTCCTTTTTTTTTTTTTTTTTTTTTTGGTTTTTTGAGACAGGGTTTCTCCGTGTTGTTTTGGACCCTGTCCTGGAACTCGCTTGGTAGACCAGGCTGGTCTCAAACTCACAGAGATCCGCCTGCCTCTACCTCCCAAGTGCTGGGATTAAAGGCATGTGCCACCAACGCCCGGCCTGTAATCCTATTTTTAAAACGACATTTACTCTAATTTGTCCCATAAGAAAGGATCCTAAAGTTCAACAGTTTGACTTTTAATAGGACACTATTAGTGATTTTCTTGAAGCAGTAGCCTCAGGAAGATGTGTGAGGTTTCTAAAGAGTTAAGTGCACTCACCTCTTTACACCCCCCCATCTCTGCCCTCAGGCTCTAGGAAATAGTTGAAAGATACCATAAAGGGGGGAAATGAGATGACTCAGTGGAAAAAAGAGTTGACCACCAAGCAGGATGACCTGAGTTTGATCCTTGGGACCTGCATGGTGAAAAGAGAGAAACAATTCTTGCAAGTTCTTCTCTGACCTCCACAGTACATAGTAGCAAACAGACACACACACACACACACACACACACACACACACACACACACACACACACTAATGTATAATAATAAAAACTGAATTAATGGAAAATTTAGAAGAGAAACCATAAATGCTATTAACTGGAGCCTCTCTTTCTTTCTCTTACCCTGTGGGTTTTAGGCCCGTCAAGTGATGGAGAGAGAATTCAATAACCTGTTGGCCTTGGGCACAGACAGGAAGTTGGATGACGTGAGTACCTGGATATGAATTTAGAGCCTTGGTCAATGTAGGCCGGTGAGCAGTGGCTAGCCTAAGGGAGGAGAGCCAGCAGGGATGGGGAGGCATATTGTCGTGCATCAGTAAGCTGTGGGGAAGTCTCTATGAAAATCATTTGTGGTATCAAGACCAAAAGCCCGTGTTATACTTCTAGTATCTTCTACCTCAAGGCTCAGCCCTCTCAACCACGCATGGTCAAAGGTCGTCCCCAGAGGCTATATCTTTGGGGTGGCTCTTCTGTCTCTGTGTCTCAGACTCCACTACATCTCTCCCTGCTTGGTGAGACCGCAGCCTGTCCTCTGGTTGTGTGGCATTTAAAGACAGATGCTCTGCTGAGAAGCTGAGTGACAGCCTGCTCTCTGCTCCTCAGGGTAGTCGGCACTGCTGAACAAAAACTCAGGCCTTTGTCACCCCCAATCTCGACACTGCTGAACAAAAACTCGGGCTTTGACCGCAGGTCTCCTGTAACTTCACCCTTCCCTTTACTTTTGCATCAGGGCTTCCCGTTGGGTTCAGGGAAGACTTTGATGGCCCTGCCAGCCCTTTCTCCTCCTCTTGACCTGTTTCCCTATCACCAACTGCCTTGACCTTTCCAGTCGCTCTGCCTTACCTGACCGTGCTTTAAGCAAGTTAGAAAAGAGCTGGGAACTGAGGCGCACAACAGGGAAGCACTCCGGCTGTACAAGCAGATGACTTGAGTTTGGCCTCTGAAGCCTATAGGAAGGTAGAAAGAGATAACCAGCTTTACAGTTTTGTCCTTCAACTTCCACGGATGCACTGTGGCATGTATGCCCCCATGTTTATTTATAGGTTCTCCGTCTTCAGACCTTGATAAATTAAGGAATAGGACTCCAGCTTTCCATTCATTTAACAGTTTCTGAGGTAGGCAGCATTCCCAGACACCACTCGGGATCAGGGAACACATGCTTTGGAAGAACAAGAAATCATGTGTTTTGTTCCATGGGGCATAGGGCACCACAGAGAGAAAGGAGAAGAAAACAGGAGTAGAAAACATAACGAAACATCCTGCACATGCATGTAAAATGCTTTTGGGACAGGCCTATGACAGAGTTTTAGAAGTGATTACAGCATTTGTCATTCCAAGGGCACACATTACAAATCCCAAGGGACTAGAAACAGGAGGAGCTATTGAGACAGAAACGGGGTCAGTGGCCCTGCTGCCCCTGTCACTCTACCCTTATCACAGGGTCTGTACAGTCCTGAAAACAAAGGTGGAAGATAAGGCCGGGGCTCCAAAGGGTGAGTGGGTGGCCATAGGTCACCTTGCAGTGAGGTACCCCGTGGGATTGTGGCTCTGGGTGCCCACCTGCAGACCAAGTGATTCTGGAAACTTGATTAGCATTGAGGAGGAACAGATGATAGAGGTCGCCCCCTGAATCCTTTGTAGGAGCATGCCTCTGACTGGAGCAGGTAGCCGATGAGATGAGGCCGATGATGATGGAATTCCCATTTTACAGATAAGGAAACCGAACCTGGAGCGGTCATGTTGCTAGTAATGTGGCTGAACCAAGAACGGCAGCCTAGAAGTCATGATCCTTGGCAGTGCTTTCTAGCAACCTGGATAGTACCTTTATTGAGGCCCCAGAAGGATGGTGACTTCCTGTAGGGAGCCTGGAAAGAGAAATACTTTGAAAAAAGCAGTAGGCTCTCCCACCTCAGGTTGGGAAGGTTGGGGTGGGTATAGCCATGGGGTTGACTGTTGGACCAGACCTGATAGGAGGGACCTCCTTCTTGATCTTGAGTGAAAGATGTCTTGAGTCAACCCCTTCAGCCCCCACTCATCTTACAGGAGAAAATACTGAGGGCTAGAGAGTGAAGTTCGGAAGTTTCAGGGACCAGTAGCAACTCCAGTATGTATGTCCCTTGGTGCAGGGGGGAAGAGAAGGTGTTCCGCCGAGCACCTTCCTGGAGGAAACGCTTCCGGCCGCGGGATCACCACAGTGGTGGCATGCTGGGCACCTCGGCAGAGACCCTCCCGGTGGGCTTCCGTGTGTCCACGCTGGGCCCACTGCAGCCCCCACCCGCCCCGCCCAAGAAGATCATGCCGGAAGGTGAGTGCGGGGCTGGCCGCGGGCTTCCTCCCGCACCCTGGGGCCCAGCGGGCTGGAGAGGGGCGAGGCCGAGGCTGCGCTGCACTAACGCTGCGGTGGGGCGCGCACTAACCCGCGCGCTCTGTGTGTTCTCCCGCCGCTGCCGACTCCTACCAGCCGGGACGGCGGGGGCGCAGAGACTGGAGCCCTCCACGGTCCGGACCTACTCCTGCTGACCCCCCACCCTCCCGCCCCGGGTATGACGGGGGTGTGCCCCCGGCTCGGGGTAAGTGGGCCTGGCTGTGGCTGCGCTCGCCCGCCTTGCCTCCGCCCCGGCCCGCCCTGCCGCCGCCGCCCCCTCGCTGCAGCACCGCCCGGCTTACCCTTCCTGCTTCGCTTCATGCTTGGCCGCATGCTGCATCTACCCGCTGCATGCCCGGGGGACCACCTCCACTTACAGAGCCTGTTTCTCTCTTCTCTCTTAGCTCACTCCCACTATCTCTACGGACACATGCTCTCCGCCTTCCGGGACTAGCCACGGCCCTCAGGGTGGGTGTCCTGGTTTCGCAGGCTCAGCCGGCCCTGACCCCTCCTGCTCGTTTCCTTTCTCCCTTGGCTCCCAGTCTCACCTCTGTGACTTTCCAGTTGCCCAGGATCTCAGAATACGCTCATCCACTCCCTTGGCATCCCCACTATCTGAGTCCTACTTCGTGCCCCTTTTGTAAGTCTCTGGTGGATGTGGCCAAGGTCTCCTGTTTGTGGCTGCACCCAGGTTGTTGGTGCTTGGGATTCTATTGGAGGGAGAGAAGGGCAACGCTGAGAGAGTGTGTCACCACCTTCCCGCTTCTGGACCTAGTTTGGTCTGGACTATGGGTTCATCAGGCTCACAATCCCAGACCAAGGACTGAGATGGCCCTTCCAATAAAAGGCCATTTTGGACTCTGTCCTGCTTGGACTAATTGGCCTTCTGATCCCCTCCACTCTGGCTGTGCTGGATGGTCTGAGTGGTTTTGGTACCCCGTTTCATAGTATCACCCCCTCTCCCCCAAACCCCATCATCAGTGTTTGTAGCTTCTGCCTCCATGTCTTGTTTATGGGCGATGAGAGGTGTAGAGTACCTGAGTGCCTCCAGTTAGAGCCAGGAGGGGAACTGAGGAAGACTAAGGTAGAAACTCTGAGCCCAAGCTGATGCAGAATCCCAAATATGTGGGAGAAATGAGCCCCACAGCTTTGGGCCAAGGGTGAGGTCAAAGGAAAGTCTTCAGCCCCTTACTTAGTGGGAGGTACAGTCAGGTAAACTAGAGAGAGCTTGGATGGCCTTATTACCTAAGCCCAAAGGGCAGTGGGAATACCCCAGCCACACCTGGAGCTGCTACTGGACTGAGTACATCAGATTATGAACTGTTGACTCTGTTCTGAAAGGAGGGTTCCACTTTAGTGAATCATGTCCCAGGTTCAGCGTATCCAATGTGGGTTGAGACAAGTTTCCCTTTCGTGTCTTCATGCCATCTAGTCCTCCTTTGGGGTTCTTTTGGGGCCAGCTCAAGAAATTCTTGATCTCCTCTCTTTCCACTATTTTAATTGCTTTTTCTGGCAGCATGGTGGGGCAGGACAGATTTATGAGGAATGTCAATCACCTCCTCTTCCAGATCCATTCCTTAGCCTTAGGAAAGCTCAGGACCTCATATCAGGGTGGGCCGATAGAACCTGATACTTCATGGAAGAGGAAAGAAGTGCCTGGGTTGTGTTTGTTGAGACAGTGCCGTCCTGTAGGTGAGCAGAGTGGCTGGTTTGCCATCTCATCTATTGGGATTCTGAACAGGGGCTAGGCTAGCAGGCGGAGAACTGAGTCAGAACTCCCTGTCTGAAAAGGGCTGAGAGCTTTGTGTTGCTGTCAGGTAGAGGAAAGCTTGCCCAATTGGGGTGACTGGATGGGCTCAGCAGGGCTGGGGCAGGCAACTACCTGTCCTTGGTCCCATTGTTTCTGCCTCCCTACCAGTCAGGCTGCTGGGGATGAAGATGAGACACAATTGAGTAGAACATGAATTGGTTAGAGAGAAAGAACCCCGATCCTGAATGCTGGAGTTAGAGAAGAAGCAGCATCCTGAGATGGAAAGAGCTGAGCATGACAGCACCATCTGACTCCTAGGGCCTCTATGGGCTAGCTATGTGGGAGAGTCAGGCCTGCCCCTCCTCTACCGTGGGACCCTGTCATGATTTTCAATGTCACAGGTAGCGACTGGGAAGCCAGGTGCATTCAGGGTCAGCAGGGAGGGTGGCGATGGGGAATCTGCATGCAGTGATGGGAGCCTGCTGTCATGGTGTGCCCCTTGCCTCATGGTCACTATATTTATTTTTTCCTGGAGAGTCACCAGTGACCCAAGCTCTCCTTGCCAGCCTCCTGTGTCTCACCAGGTCCCTTCTCAGTACTGTATTGGCTCAGTGCTTCAGGAGTGTGTGTGTGAGTGCGTGTGGGAGTGTGTGGGTGTGTGGGATGTGAGTGAGTGTGTACGTACCAATAAACAACCTGGTTTTAAGATAATGTACAAATGGCCTCTGTTTCTTTATTAAACACTAAGTTCACTTACTATGATGAGCTTCTTTCACAGACCTTAGGGTTGCTGTTGCTCTGGGAAGGAAGTTCAGAGTTCTGAAACATAGGCAGTACCCTCCTGTTTATCTTGCACTTGACGGGAAAGTTAGCATTTGGGTGGTATGTACAAAGGTTTGTAGAACAAGGTGAAGGGTGAGAAGCCTACTTATCAGGCTTGGCTGTTTTCCTCTACTTGGATACTTTCACATTGAGCCTGGAGTCACTGCGACCCAGATTCCTCTGACATTTCTACATCCCATGAGCTTACTTAGCTACTTCTTGATTGCTAAGATACAATGACCACGCTGGGTGGCATACGCCTTTAATCCCAGCACTCGTGAGGCAGAGGCAGGTGGATCTCTGTGAGTTCGAGGCCAGGCTGGTCTACAGAGCAAGTACCCCGGCAGGTTCCAAAACAATACATAGAAACCCTGTCTCGAAATAACAAAAAAAAAAAAAAAAAAAAAAAGAAAAGAAAAGAAAAGAAAAAGACCAAGTCAACTTATTTAAAAAAATCATTTACTTGGGGCTTGCTTATAGTTTTAGAGGGTTAGAGTTCTTGCCCATCATGGCGGGGAGTATGAAGGTGGGTGCTGGCAGGGAAGTCAGGCAGCAGGCAGGTGGGCATGACACTGGAGAAGTAGCTGAGAGCTTACATATTGAGACAACCACCAAGAGGCAGAGAGAGAGAGAGAGAGAGAGAGAGAGAGAGAGAGAGAGAGAGAGAGAGAGAGAGAGAGAGAGAGAGAGAGAGAGAGAGAGAGACTGAGAGCATGCACACTGGGATGGCATGAGCTTTTAAAACTTCAAAGCCCACTCCCAGTGACACACCTCTTCCAACAAGGCTATATTCCTACTCCTTCCCAAACAGTTCTACCAACTGGGGACCAAGCATTAAAATATGTGAGCCTATGTTTATTTGTTTGTTTCTGAGACAGGGTTTCTCTGTGTAACAGCTCCCACTGTTCTGGAACTTGCTCTGTAGACCAGGCTGGCCTCGAGCTCACAGAGATCCTCCTGGCTCTGCCTCCCAAGTGCTGGTTTAAAGGCGTGTGCCACCACTTCCTGGTGGGGCCATTCTTATTTAAACAACCACAGTGGGTCTCCACTACTTTAGTTCAGGGTCAGTCCCTTCACTGGGTGGCATTAAGAAGCTATTCATAACGGGATCCCTGGCCCTCTCCTCTTCCCACCAGTTTGAATCTGCCAGTGCCTTCTGTTATGTCCACCAGTGCCTTCACCAGAAGACAGCTCAGCAGCTCATTTTCTTGCTTTTGTAGCTTTGACCCTTCAACTCCTTTCCAAGTCTCCCATGGGAGGCAATGGCTGGCACTGCAGTAGAATTAGGTAACAAATATCCTTCAGCTCCATGCCATTTTATACACGTTGTACATATATATGTATGTATATGGTGTCTCTGTGGCTGTCTGCTGCACTGGGCTGTGACAGTGCCCCTTAAGTCAGTCTCCTTGATCTCTACATTGAACAAGTGAATTCACTGACCTCATCTTAGAGAGTTGTTGAAGGCTTAATGTTAATAAAAGCTGACAAATCCCGGAGTACTGCTGTGTGTCAGACCCTTGCCTGTTCCTGCTGCTATTACAAAATAACTTCACACAGGTCATTTTTAATCAACAGAAATGTGTTTCTCACAGCACTGGAGTTTGAGAAGTCCAAGGGCAAGCCTCTGGCAGAGATTTAATCTCTGATGAGGGCCCAGTCTTCAGAAATGGTACTTTGTCAAGGTGTTTTCACATGCTAGAAAAGATTGAAGGGAACAAGGGACAGACAGGTTGCCAGGCCTCTCATAAGGGCATTAGCCCCATTCATGAGGGCACAGCCTTCATGCCCTGATTGCCTTCGGAAGACGTAACTGTTAATGCCATAGCATTAGGGATTAGCTGTTTTAAAGATTAAAAATTGTTTGAAATCTAAGTGTGAGTGTGTGGGTAACAGTGGAGGCCAGAAGACACATGGGACCCTTAGAGCTGGAGGGACAGCATTTGTGATGAGGAACTGGGGTCCAAGCTTGACTTTCTGTGGTAGAACAGCAAGCCCCATTAACCGCTGAGCCATTTCTCCAGCCCTGAGCATGAATTGAATATGAATTTTGAAGCAACCTAAACATTCAAATTATAACTTGTAGTAAACAGATTAGCTTGTAGCAATCAAATTACTTAATCTAATCCTCACAAGCCAGCAGTGTGGTATCATTGCCATTTTATAGAACAGGAAATTGTCAGATTAAGAT